CCAATCACAATATATTATAACTTAGAAGAGGTATGCCGTAATCCAAGCTATAACATATTTGAAAGGTAGGTGAATGACGATTCACCAATTTCCACCACGAAAACCGAAATATTAGATATTAGGTTTTTTGATTGGTTCTTAGAAATTCCTAGATTCTTTGAGATTCAATGAACTTTTCAAAGGCATGTTTCAATCTCGAGTGTGCCCTCCAAGTTTTGTGACTGGGATACCGAGGATCACAAAACGAGGTGTGAAGTAACCATGCAAATCACTTGGTACCCTTAAAGTTTATCACTCAATCGATGTGCCGGTAAACCACACACGCTCCACCGATACTATAATAAACCTTAAGTCACCCTTTACCTACCTTGTTAAGTCCAAGTTAGTGTGCCGGTTAACCACACACGCTCCACCAACGACTTACAAAGTGTAAAGTGTAATTTCATGGATTAGCACCTTATTCACATTTTTCCTAAAGTAACTAAGATTGGGAATTTAATAAAACATTTAGTTACTTTATAATATTCATCATACTTTTAATGAGAATTTATAAGTCCTTGTCTTACCCGTTCGGCTAACGACCCTCCACCAGTCAAGCAGCGGTGGGTGAGAGTAGACACCCATTAAGTCACATTTTATAGGCAACAACCTTATACCCACCTTATAGACCGGCTTCGTGAATGAGGCGTACTAGCGGTAAGACGACTTTGTTCTTATACATACATATATATATATATATATATATATATATATATATATAATTATTAATATATAATATAAGTATAAGGATTGAATTTTAACTTTTAAAATTCTAAGGGTTGGAACTAAAGTTTTAACTTAACTTTACTTGTTCCAAAACTTGAGGGCAAGTTTTGTAACTTTCAAAACTTTTCATTTCTTGTAACTTATGAGTTTAATAGAGTAATAAAATGAAGACTCTTCATTTTTAACTCTTGTGTTCTTTTAATGGTTTTAATTCAAGTGTGACTCTTGGTTTTCCATAACTTGAGGACAAGTTATGGACTCCATTAAAACACATTATGATCAAGAATTAATCTACCACATAGGTTACAAATAATTCCTATGATCATCTAAAACATCATAAGAACAAGAACATGAATATGAACACATTCATAAATCAAAATTACACTTAAAACTTTGTAATTTTGATAACTAGTTGTTGTAAATGAATTAGAAAGAACATTACACCATCAAAACAAGTTTTCAAGTACCAAAACAGTTTAGGGTAATGTTTCTAGTCCATTTCCAGCAACTAAAGTCGAAAATCTGCACTCTGTCGACCCTACTCGCCGAGTGCATGAACCTACTCGCGAGTAGGTTGAAGATACACGTGAACTCGACGAGTCCCCCCATGGACTTGACGAGTCCATTCGTAGACAGCAAGTTTTCGACTTTTTTCAACTTTTTAGCACAAATAAAACAAACAAGCCTAGGCTCTGATACCACTGATGGGTTTTGAGCATTCTAACACTTCCTAAGTGTACATGCAACCCTAATAACCTTGGATCTATGTTTGTCTAATTATCATGCAAAGTTGAATTCCAAGGCTATATTCCTATCTAGCATACATGGGGAACAATTTTAACTTGAATGATAGATAGAATAACTTACCTTGTTGTTGCTTATGTTCCTTGAAACCTTATGAGCCTAGCACCCCAAGTGTGATGCCTCAAATGCTTCACACAACACCAAATGTTCTTGGAAAGACTTTTGAGAGAATGCACACTTCTTGAAATCGGCCAAGCCTTCTTGTTTCCTTAGTGTAACCGATTTTGGTGGAGAATATGATTCTTATATAGTGTTGACACATCTAGGGTAACACCATGTAAACCCTAATGTGTCATGACTCTTCATTTCCATGACCCATGGGTTTGTAACTCCCATGGAGCATCCATGGAGCATCCTATGGGTGGAACCCAACTTGATAATCCATGGAGCCTCTTAGCCCACTATACAAGATATGGATGATTTACATAATCAACCCATATATTTAATTAGTTATCTTTTGATCACTTAATTAATTCTAAATTAATTCTTGATCAAACTAATCAAATAATATTATTAATATATTAGAACTTATAATATATTAATAATCTCCAAGTGTTATTTCTCTCATTTAGTCTATCCAATTGCATGGTGCCATGCAACCCAAATGGACCATGTCGGGTTGGGTCAAGTACATACCAGAAATAGTTATGGACTTAGACACCTTATCCAACAGGATAGAACATGGGTAGATGAGATAGTTGGTATGTGATAAAATGATGAGGTAAATGATGAGGTATGAAAGATGATTAAGCATAATATTGGTAGATGCACCAAATAGAGAATGACTTAATGCTAGCAGATGCGCTTAAGCATAATATTGGTAGATGCACCAAATAGAGAGTGACTTAATGCTAACAGATGCGCTTAAGCATAATATTGGTAGATGCACCAAATAGAGAATGATATAATACTAGTAGATGAACTTAAGCATAATATTGGTAGATGCACCTAAAAGAAAATGTCATAATAGTAGCAGATGCTCTTAAGGATATTATTGGCATATACACCTAATAGTGAATGTCGTAATCCTGGAAGAGACGGTTAAAGGATAGTGTTGGCATATTTTCCTTCTGTAGTAATGGAAGTTTGAGCTAATTCCGTAGGTCAATCCTTAGGAATGAATGAAGGAAGGATAGTTGATTAATAGGGTAAAACCTTGAGAAATAAAGAAGATAATGGGGATGTGTAATTGGGTTGATTGTTTGATGATTGAATATAATAATTATATTATTGTGGATCGAAAACCCTATATGCTCACTAGGCTCCCAAGCCTGACCCACTCAGTTTTCTTTGCATTACGGGTAATGGCACAAGAGTATAAGTTGGTGGACTTGACGAGAGATTTTGGATTATAGATCAGTAGTTATAAATAACTGTTGTAAGGTCTATTTTATATTGTTTATGCTTTTGTTCTGTATCAAAACATGACATCTCGAGATTTTTTTATTTAATGAAAATACATTTGTTTAAAGAAATGTTTTGATAAATTCTTATCATATTTTGTTTTGGGAACAAATTCCACAACCTTTTTCTTTAAACGAATACTTTGATTTATAAAACAAAGCATAAAAAAATCAATCATTTCTGGCCATGAAATTGGGGATGTCATAGTTACCCAGCCTCCTTCTATGACATCGACCCCCAAGCAACCCTAAGAGCAAGAGAGAAATTTTTGAGCATTTAAGAGAGTTTGAAGTGGTTTTGAAGAAAGAAGAAGGTGGTGAGAAGATCTTGGAGTTGAGAGCACTTTGGATTTGGGATTTCTACGTTATTTGCAACCTCTTGAAGGTATAGAGCTAGCAACTTTACCTCTGCATCTTGTAGATCTAGGCTTTTGCTCTTTTAAGTCACCTTTTTGGTCCCAAATGGTGATTCTTGGACATGGCCTGTTCTTAACCCATTAAGTCGTCCTTTCAGACCTTAGGAAGGGTCTTGAATCATAAAAATAGGGTCTTAATGGTTGATTTTGCTCCATACACTCCCTAAATGGTCGTAATTTATTAAGACCTTGAGTTAAGCACTTAATGGACAAGCAAAGTCATAAAGTTGGAAATTTTATAACTCTTGAGGATGATTTAGCCTTGGATATGGAAATGACACGTAAGAGCTTAAGCAATTAAGCTCTTAATGATCTTATGGGAAAACTGGGCGTGCGCCCTCCGTAATCTGAGTACGCAACACGTACATAGTCAACCACCCCGATGGTGGCTATTGATCGAGTATGCCCAGCGTACACTAGGAATATGCCTCGCTTACGCTCAATGTGTCGACTCGACTGGGTTGACTCAGGTGACATATGGATTTTGACCAATTTGACATTGACTTTGACCAAGTTTTACCAAGGGGTCTTCTGGGTATTTTGAATGGTGTTTAAAATTGGCCATTTGGAGGAATAAGTGTCGGTTAGAGATGAGTTCAGAGTTGGGACCTCGTCAGCTACTGTTCAAACTGTGAGGTGAGTTTTCCTCACTATACTTACAGGTCGAATGCACCAAGGCCGTCCCATTGGATTGATATCCTGCTATACATTAATATATTGAGTATGGAATGAATCTGCATGATTATATGCTAGTTGCCGATATGCTTAGTCTGGTAGATCTGTAGGACTACCTGTGATTCTGTCTGCATGATTATTTGTATATATTTGTTATCTGTTACATGTCGACATATTATGGTGGGTTGAGGTTGTATTGCTTTGTATTGTAGCCAACAAACCTGAGAGTATTCTAGATATGAGTTGAGGTCCATTTGGCATGCCAGACTCATACTGATGGCTCAGGAGCATTCCAGATACGAGCTGAGCACCGATTAGGATGCCAAACTCATATTGAGGGCTTGAGGGTATTCCAGTCCGACGACTGAGTGAACCCATTATATACCGACATTCCACCTCGGGTATTCCATCTCGAGGATGACTGGACCCGAAGGGTGACTGGGCGTGGGATATTCGAACCTGATGGTTGATTGGACCCGACATGTTGTTGTATATGTTAGTTGTTTGTGTGTTGGTATTTTGGAGGGAACTCACTAAACTTTGGCTTACGGTTTTTCACTTTTTTATTTTATAATTTTCTTTTATTTGTTTTGAACTTTAAGATGAGTCGCTATAATTGCATATCTATATCTCATAAAATTAACATTGTCTCAATAAATATATATATATATATATATATATATATATATATATATATATATATATATATATATATATATATATATATATATATATATATATATATATATTTAGCTTTGGTAATTCTATACAATTTAGTTACTTTCAGGAAGGGGGGGGGGGGGGGGGGGGGGGGGGGGGGGGGGGGGGTTGGGTTGGGGGTGGTTAATAACACTTGTGGAGTGGTGAGATGTGTTTTCCCTTATCCGTAAAAGTCACATCGTATAATTAAATGAAAGTTATTTGATCGTTTAAATTGTATGAGGGTTGTTTAATGACCTATCATTTTCAAGTGCTTCAAAATAGTGAAATCATACCGAAAGTAATTTCAACTTAGCATTTCCACACATAATCAACTATACATTATCATTGAACGTTATTTTCAATCAAAATCACATACACATTTTATTTTCAGGAAATTATTTAAATATGAACAACATGACTATGCATATTCATGTGCTATGTCGAGGAGGCAAACACTAAGTTGCTTCGGGTCGCACAGCATCGGCATATGATCCACACAATTTAACTTTTTCACCTCAACCACTGGATTGATTTCAATCATCCAACGTTGGAACTCTTCTTTGATTGCTTTATCTTCATCACAAATGACATATGCTCGTTTTACTGAGCCATATTTTCCTTTTGTAAATTGCTCTGTTGCGGCTAGGTCTTTTAGAAATAAAGATCCGGGCCTTATCAATATTTTTCCTAATTCAAGATCCTATAAGTAAGAATATAGTTTTATCATTAATCCAATTATAATAGTTATTTTTGAGAATGATGACGATTATTACCTCATCGGAGCAATGTTGATAGAGTTTCAATGATAGAAACTCAGGACCAAAAAACATCGATGTTTCAGACTCATTTACATTATTGTAGGGCAAGAATTGTGTGTCTAACCAAGCTTCTCGTGGGGTGCTTTTGTTATACTGTGCATATTTAATAACTAAAATAAATTTTAAGATATAATTAATGAAAAACTAATAGAAATTATAATTGTAAATACAACTTAAACGATAAATGATCGAAGTATATATATTTGTTAATGCGCATTTCATTTCTATGTAATGTTATTTACTATTTAAATTTTTTATATCAGGTGATTTTAATCATTTAGGGATACATGTGCTCAAAGCCATATGCATATTTTCTTTTTTGTAATTTCTTACATTTGGTCATATGATCTTAAAATTTTCTTCTCAACGTCGTTATTATAAGGATAGAATTGTTTTAGAATAATTTACAAATATTGGCTTATGATATTACAACTTAAAATATTAATGAATTACCACATTTAATACAAATTATTGAAATTTATGGTCAGGATTTAATTCCCTAATGGTATCGACAATGTTGATTGTTTGAAATCAATCCAGCAATTAATTTGAAGCAATTAATTTGAACTTTGAAGTCTTGTTGATATAGTTTTTAGGCCCCACGAATCCACCACCACTACTTTAGTAGATTTTAGGGAATAGGACTTGGTAAGGTAATTAACTTTTCGAGTTTTTCACATATAGGTAACTATCTTTTTTTTGTACACATCTAGGTAACAAACTTTTTGGAACTGTTTACATATGACCATTATGACCTGCTGTAGCAGGTTACATCCAACTACAGTAGGTCATAATGGTTATATGTGAACAGTTTCATCAAGTTCGTTACCTAGATGTGTACAAAAAAAATAGTTACCTAAATATGAACAAAACCAAAAGTAATAGTAAATTACATGAATGGTCCCTATGGTATAGGGGAATTTGTACATTTGATACCTAACTTATTCTTTTTAACTCGGATGGTTTCTACTGTTTATTTTTGTTGCGCGCTTAGTCTCTGTCTTACTTAAAAAGACTATTATGCCCTTATTAATTAATTTTCTTATTTATGTTTTTTTTATATGTTTAAAAAAATTAATAGACCCCACATATCTGTATCTCCTCATCGTAAATCTGAAACCACATTTGAGAAATTTAATTTGGGTCCCACCGGTCACCATCCCATCTCACATCCTCTTCAACCTCTATTTTCTTTCAATCTTTAGTGACATGGAAGTCTTCACCATTTTTTTTTATCCTTCAACTCTGGCGAACAAACACCATAACCCACAGTCTCTTCACTTTATTGGGTTGTGGTGTTGGTTCGCTGAAGTTGAAGGGCCGAAAAAGAATAGATGGTGAAGACTTCATTGTCATTAAATATGGAAAAGAAATAAAAGTTTAGGATAATGAAAGATAGGATGGTGAGGAGATACATATATGTGAGGTCTATTAGTTTTTTTAAACATATAAAACATACATAAATAAGAAAATTAATTTAAAAAAATTAAATCAATAAGGACACACTAGTTTTTTTTGGTAAGATATGGACCAAACGAAACAAAACAAAACAGTAGGGACCATCCGAATTAAAAAACATAAGTTAGGGACCAAACGCATAAATTCCCCCAAACCACAGGGACCATTCGTGTAATTTACTCTTACTTTTGGTTTGTTCATATTTGGGTAACTATTTTTCTTTTGTACACATCTAAGTAACGGACTTGTTGAAAGTGTTCACATGTAACCATTATGATCTACTGTAACCAGAGGTAACCTGCTACAGCAGGTCATAATGGTCATATGTGAACAGTTTCAAAAAGTTTGTTACCTAGATGTATACAAAAAAAATAGTTACCTACATGTGAACAAACCGAAAAGTTAATTACCTTAATTAGTCTTATTCCCTAGATTTTACTGTTCATACACGATTTGAAAAGGTTAAACGTGTAATATATTAGTCATGCCTGAATTATTGCTTTCTATTGATAACTATTTATAGTTTCCTTGAAAATATGACGTACGAAAGAAGTTAACCACATGTCAGATACAAAAGTTAAAATTAATTTTTTTTGGAATTAACATGATAACATGTTATTTATGTTTATGTGGATCACTGGATCTTACTTTTGACCGTAACAAATTATGTTTCAAACTTATACAAAAGACATTGTTTAGCTTTGTTTAGCACAAAATAAAACCCTGCAATATTTATAAACCATTAAAGTATTATGTTGTTCAAAAAACACATTATCATAATCATTATGGGTTATAACTGAGTTAGGCAAATTTTGTGTGGGAAAATGACCTGAAATAAATTGATAACTTTAACCGATATATATATATATATATATATATATATATATATATATATATATATATATATATATATATATATATATATATATATATATATATATATATAGGGTTAGGTTCATATGAGACGGCCTAATTTTGTGAGACCGTGAAACGCATTTTTTTATTTTTTTAGTTAATTCAAGTTCCGGAAATAATATTTAATTTTTTTTTTTGGATTTTTCCATTTATTTTGCATTTTAAAATTATTTTTTAGAATATGTCAGTGTAATATTCTATTAGAATATTTCACGTATTTTACAAAAAAAAAATGGAATTTATTTTTATTTTTTAAATTTTTTTTAGTTAATTCAAGTTTTGAAAATAATATTTAAAAAAAGAATTTTTAGATTTTTCCATTTATTCTGCATTTTAAAAATATTTTTTAGAATATATCAGTGTAATATTCTATTAGAATATTTCACTTATTTAAAAAAAAAAAAAAACAGAATTTTTTTTTATTTTTTTTTAGTTAATTCAAGTTCCGAAAATAATATTTTAAATTTTTTTTTGGATTTTTCCATTTATTTTGCATTTTAAAATTATTTTTAGATTTGGTCTCATGGTCTCACAAAATTAGAATGATCTCAAATAAACTTGAACCTATATATATATATATATATATATATATATATATATATATATATATATATATATATATATATATATATATATATTCAGGTTCATTTGAGATCATTATAATTTTGTGAGACCGTGAGACCAAATCTTAAAATAATTTTAAAATGCAAAATAAATGGAAAAATCCAAAATTTCTTTTTTTAAATATTATTTTCGGAAATTGAATTAACTAAAAAAAATATAAAAATATATATAAAAAAATAAAAAAAAATTCCGTTTTATTTTTGAAAAATATGTGAAATATTCTAAATAGAATATTACACTGACATATTCTGAAAAATAATTTTAAAATGCAAAATAAATGGAAAAATCTAAAAAATCTTTTTTTATATATTATTTTCGGAACTTGAATTAACTAAAAAAAATAAAAAATAAATAAAAAAATCTATTTTTTTTTAAAAATACGTGAAATATTCTAAATAAAATATTACATTGTACATATTCTAAAAATAATTTTAAAATGCAAAATAAATAGAAAAATCAAAAAATTCTTTTTTTAAATATTATTTTCGGAACATGAATTAACTAAAAAAAAATTTTAAAAATTAAAAAATACGTCTCATGGTCTCACAAAATATAGGTGGTCTCAAATGAACCTAACCCTATATATATATATATATATATATATATATATATATATATATATATATATATATATATATATATATATATATATAGTGTTAGGTTCATTTGAAGTAATTGTTTTTTTTGACTTTGTTCAGTCAAAAAATGCTAGCAAAAATTACTTGTTGTTTTTGTTCACTATAATGAGTTTGCTAGCATTTTTTGACTGAACAAAGTTAAATGTTTTTTTTTCTCTAAAATTTTAGAGCTTTTTTTATACTTTGAAGTAATTTTTTATAAAAAAGAATATGACGGCTAAACCAAATAATCATACTACTTGGTATGCAGCCATATATATCAAAACATCAATAAAGAAAACGTATAAATTTCAAAGACCAAAGTAATTAATATTTACACCAAAACGTTAACATTATGACGTCATATTAAAAGTATTTGATTAATTATTAGGGAAAATGACTCTTGAGGATAATTAACTTTTGCGTTTGTACTTATTTGGTTATTTTTTTTTTTTATTTTTTTTTTATTTAATATACCATCGAACTTGTTATTTGTGTTCACCATATCCCTTTTAACCGACTTTTGACCTGTGATATTATACATATTGATGTTGTATCTTATCAATGACTTCGATCTTAAAGTTAAATAAACAAAAAAATCACAGCACTTGTGATTCCACTCGTTTGTAGACTTGTCTAGAATCCATGATATGATAAATCATTTGATTGGAAATGTAAATATAGTCATAAAATGCATCTGCTTAGTCAAGATTCCTCTAATAAATATTCAAGTGCATTACAAAGTTGTACATGTATAAATAATATCCTTTCGTGAGTTATGTTTTGAAGAGAAACAATAATGAATCTTATAAAATCATTAATATCAGTAGGAGATGACGTGAGATTTGCTGTAAATGAGTAAAGGAAAATGAATTAGGAGGGTAACCAACTGTTGTATTTGTTCTCATTTTGTCCATTTTTTTTGTACTCAATATACAATCGAACTTGTTGTTTGTGTTCACTATAACCATTTGACCGACTATCACAAGTCAAAAGCCGATCAAAAGAGTTATGGTGAACACAAACAACAAGTTCAATGGTATATTAAATAAAAAAAAGGAAATAAACCAAATGAGTACAAACGCAAAAATTAATTACCCTCAAGAATCATTTTCCCTAATTATTAAATCGACAAAATATTGCGTCAATCAAATGCTTGAACAATTCATTTCTAGGTCACTTGTTTCCTTCTAGGTCACTTGTTTCCTTATATGGTGTCGCGTACGATATATACTTTTTAAATTATGGAAATATAATATTTTTAATTAAAATTTGTTGATAAATATCGACATATATCAGTATTAATGCACTGATACAACTTGATACAGAGAAAAATAAAATAAAAGGTTGATGTTAATAATAATAAGAAGAAGAGGTAGAATTAAACAAATAAAATTAGATTAAATTCTCAATTAAAAAAAGATAATTTATATATTTTAAAACAATTAATTTTTTTATTTTTTTTACCTGGTCGAAAACATAGGAAGGCCTATGTACTGTATCCGGCATGAAAGCAGTGAGGAAGATGGCGATAGAGATTTTTTCCGGGAACTTCTCCATGGCCAGAGCTAAGTTCATACCACCAAGGCTATGGCCAACGAGCACCACCTTCTTCTCCGGCGGAATGGTGGCCATGAATTCCAGCAACGGAATACTGTAATCAGCAAGTGTAGCCACGTCTTGTATTACTTTGGTGTTTGTGCCGGAGGCTGAGAGATCAAAGGCGGAGACGCGGTGGCCGGCAGCCTCAAGAAGAGGCTTGAGTTTGAACCAACACCATGCTCCATGGCATGCACCATGTACCAAAACAAAATGCTTCTGGTCATCTCCGGTGGCTGCCATTTTACTCTCCATCCAGCTGTTTGTGTGATTATTTAAAGGAAGATCCGGAGGACAAAATTGTCCATAACAATATGTCAAATCGGTAGATGGGGGCTCACTCACAAAAAAAAACATAAAAAACCAAAATAAAAATCAATGTATCATTGTGCGAGGCATGATATGCATTATATCGAACCTCGGGTTCTTTAAGAAATAAATCACATAATTATATTAAATATATCATGTTTTTAAAAATATTATATTAATACTTTTTTATGAAAAGTTAACAAAGATATCAATTGTTCCACGCTCAATAAAAATATCGTCTCAAAAAATCTATGACTTCTTTCCTTTGACTATTGTCATTGGCAACTGGCAACTGAAAATGTGTTGGTCGTTAAGAACAACTAAAAGAAAAATAATATAATAAAATAAACAACCCATTTATCCAACTAGTGGTGCTACACCCACCAAAATTAAGGTTAGTCTCGTCTACATGAAATTATATATTATTGATTCTTTTATTTTGTTTTTTCAACGGGATATAATAAACAATAAAATAAAAGTTTATTTGATTGTAAATAAAATCAATAAAATATATCAAATTTATATTTTTTTGCTTTATAAATAGAAACTGATATTGATATAGATAATTTATTGAATAAAAATAGTTATAAATTATATTTCTTTCGTAAAAGAAGGGTTGTTAATAGGGTTAATGTTGGGATTTAGTTGGATTGTATAAGTAGAAGAGAGATAAATTAGTTTTTTTAATAGAGAGTTTGATTGGTTTTGATTGTGAATAAAAATAATCTTACACATCAGTGATTACCTAGAATAAAAGTTTTACAAGAATTTGTGGAATAAATTTGGTTTTATTGTGAAAGTTGTTTAGACCAGGTATAGTGGCTACGAACAAGGTTGTGGTCTAGATAGTCACGAACCACGACCGTGCACACCATCCTGGTGGGTCGTGATGGGTCATGGTTGTAGCCCTTCATGCGCCGGACAACGATTTCAAACAACCAATCACAATTAATTTTTTTCCCGTAAATGTTGTTTGACCACCTAACAACCACTTTTACTTTCTTTTTCTTCCTTCAATATTTTCCTATAAATACTACCACTCATCTTCTTAATAGATTTATCAAATGCCTTTCCTAATGTATGTAAACCTCATTGCGTTCATTTATTTCTATTTACACAAAGAAAATTTATTTCATTTATACAAAGAAAATAATACTGATAATTTACAATTCTACGGTTATTTCAAGTAAGCCCAGATGAAATATTGATAGAATCAACTAGGGTAATTTGTCAACGGATAAAAAAGATAAATAACAACAAATTCCTTATTCTTGAGCACGTAGTGACTTATCATGTTATATGCAGGAGCTTCTCCGTAATTTGTTTCCTAAGTTAATTAGTTTTTTTATGTAGCAAGGGGTAATTGTGTAAATTGAAATTCCTTATATTCTTTACCTGCAATTGTTCCATTAGTTATTCATTATATTCTTTTGTATAATAAAATTATTGAATGTGATTTATTTTGAATATTAGTATATTTATTGTATGAAATAGATTATTTTGTTATATATGTATTTTATTTTTTATTATAAGACATTAATTTTCATCTAATTTGAAAATTAATAAATTTATAATTTTTTAAAACACTTAAAATTATGACACGCAAATTATATGTCGTAAATAAATGTCTTAAATGCACTTCGAAATGCGTGTTGTAAATTTATGACACATAAATGTGTGTCCTCTTCCTTTATGATTGAGACTTTTGATGACACGTATTTACATGTCATCTATACCTTTTTATGACACAAAACTTATATCATTAAATGCATAGTTTTTAGTAGCTTGACTAGTGTAGATGGAAAAAAAAAACAAATTAGTTTTTTAATAGAAAAGTTGAATTGTATTGGTATGAGTTGAGTTGGGTTGTAAATGGGGATAATATTTGTCATGTTTTGAGTGGTGTTTGGATTGAGTTAGAAAATTACTTATTTGCTATTAAATTTTCAGAAAGCCAATAACTTTAAAATGTATTCAATAAAGGTAAAAGTGTTTTTGAAAACATCTTTTCTTTTTTTATGGGAAACATAACTTCCCTAATGTGGGTTTTATTTCAAAATAAGATTCAAAAACATAAAATTTAGCAACGGAAGGATTAGAAATTTTGAATATCATAAAACAAGTTTATACCCACCAAAGATCATCTTGCAAGTTGTAGAAATATTAAACACCAAATCAAAGAAAAAATGAAGAAATAACAACCTTTGTAGTTATTTGGGTCCTCTTGGGAGGCTTTGAAGTTGTTAAAGAATGATGAATTTTAGAGACACCAACAATGAATCAACTTGATGTAGAACACTAGTTCTTTTGTATAAAACTTTTACGACTCTTAAGATTTATGTTGTTATCAAAATAAGAACATAAAGAGAGCATAAGGTAAGAGTGTGATCTTCAAATCTCCAACAAAACTAGAGAGAAACACACACACATACAATTTTTGGTTTTGCATGGTTAAAGGAAGACGAATGAAAGCCTCACTTCATAAAGCCAATCTTTGGATGATAAGTCATTAACACTTTAAGAACCTATGCACCTAAAGCTTATGTGTTCCACATGCTTTAAGCCATTCCCTTCTTTCTTAATAAACTTGTCAAAAGTCCATGCCATCCTTTTTCTTCCATAATTTATAAGTTAAGAAGGCTAAAGAGGACAAAACTTTTATATTTTATAAACTAACTTTATAAAATATAAACTTTAACTTTTTCATAAAATACAAAAGAATTCATCTAGTCCAAAATGTTGTGCTTGACTTACTAATTCATACCATATGAATTATGTAATGTTACTTACTAATGAAAATTATTATTTCCAAGAAGTAAATAATTTTTAATTAATTATAAGAGTTTATTGAATATTTATTAAAATCAATTTCTAATAAATAATCAATTATATCAAGTTGTTGTTAGTGTGACTCATTAGTATCATATGTAATTGACAATATCACTTTAATATGATTCTTGAGCATATCAGATCCTTCAATCTCCCACTTGCACAAGACTGTAACATCCGGACTTTTATCAGGTATCATGTTAATTGTATTTTGTTGATTTGTGAGGGGGACTCGGCGAGTTGGAGCTCAGACTCACCGAGTAGGGACGCGGATTTGGATGAAGGATCGCGCCTGGACTCGGCGAGTCCAAGATATGGACTCGGCGAGTCTGCGTTGTGTAATGAAACCCTAATTTCTCAGGTTTGAGACTTATTTAAAGGGCCTAATGGTCGTCATTTGTGCCCACCAGCCCCTTGAGTGAAACCCTAATCGTGTGTGAGCACTTGGAGCTAAGTAGGAGGCCATTATTGACCTTGGAGGTGCCATTTTTGCAAGGAAGAGAAGAGCTAACCAAAGGGAAAGCAAGAAGGAGCCATTTATGTGGGTTAGGAGTCCAGAGCATCATTTTGTGGTAATAAATCCGAGTTACCTTCTTGTTTGTTGTTGTTTATTTAGATTTAGGGTTTGTTGAACCCTTTCATGGCTAGATTTGGTGCCCTTTTGGTCCCTTATGAGGTTGGAACCATAGATCTGGACCCTTAGAGGTCCAGAGTGTCCCTTTACCCAAGCTTTTTGGGGATCAATGGAGGCTTTGGATTGGAATCCTCATGCCTTAGGTCAAAAACTCCATTATGGAGCTATAGGGGGTGTTATGAGCACCAAGATGGGAACTTTACGTGATGAATCAGTCGAGGGAGGCCAGATCTCTAGTTTTTGGAAGCAGATCTGACCTTAGAAGCGAGTTAGAATGGTTGCATGGCACGGACTCGCCGAGTCTGTTCATCCGACTCGACGAGTATCTTGAAGATTGCCTTGGGACTGTTTAGCGAGTGGTCCAATCGAGTCATGGGTAGACTCAGTGAGTCAGGGTGAGTTGGAGGAGGGTGACGGGTGGACTGAGTCAACCTTGGACTCGCCGAGTTGTCCTTGAGACTCGGCGAGTTGAGTCGGGGTGGCCCCGCGATTCATTCAGGTGAAACTCGTCGAGTAAAGGGGGGGATACTCGACGTGTAGTAAGAGGATTCAGAGGGTTGATAAAAACGTCTAGACTCACCGAGTCGCCTTGGTACTCGCCGAGTCCGGTCAGAGTTGACCGTTGACCGTTGACCAGAGTTGACCTGTGTTGACTCCTTATTGATAGTCAACCTTAGAGATATAAAGTGTTAATTAGAAATATATAATGTTATAGGAGGATTAGAGCTCGGAGGATCGAGCACGAGGGATTTCCAGGATTCGTGAGATACCGAGATACGCGAGGTGAGTCTTCTCACTATACAATATTACCTTGAGTAGGTAACCTGAGTTATGTGATAGAGTATTGTATGCTATGCATGTTATGTATTGTACTGCATTATTTCTATGTGATTTATGTAGTGCATGTTTATCAGAGCTAGAACCTGAGGGTTCACTGAGTTTGGGTGCACGGACCCACAAAGTTATAGCCTCGAGTGGCTAATATGTGTTATATGTGGTATTTTGGGGAACTCACTAAGCCTTGTGCTTACAGTGTTTGATGTTATTGTTTCAGGTACTAGTGACGATCACGGGAAGGCACCGGCTTGATCCGTACACACACATTCGAAGTTCTTACATTGTGATCTTGGGATTTTGTATTAACCTATTTTGGATAATTAATATGGTTGTTTGATGAATATTGATGGAATTATGTTTTATAAAAATTGAAAATTTTGTTTTGAAATTTACGGTGTTACAAAGACTTATATTAGATTAATATAGATTGTGGTTAATGTCTAGCAACATTTCACTGGCCCCATCAACATACAATTTTTTTGCCATTTTATCAACGTCGATTTCCCAAAAAGCTCCAAGCTAATTGGTGTATAAGGTATGCTTATTAGTTATCCCTTTGTTACAACCTATTGCCTACCTTTATCCAGTGAAAGTCAACTAATCTAACTCATATTAGTCTTATTTTATAATTTCTCCCATAATTATAAACAACTATGAACTTTAAGAATATTAACATTATTCATGGATTAACATGTTAATATAGAACACAACAAGCATTGATGTTATGATCATATCACAGTATAACAAAACAATATATAATAGTTGTTTTTATGATGTTTCAATATCCAAATGCTAAATTCAAATTAAAATCCCATTTCTAGAATAATAATGTCTTATAGTTGAAATGTCACCATTTGTACTTAGTTCATAAGAAGGACTTTATTAATGGGTTCGAATAAACTTAATTTGTGTGAGTTCTGCGAATACTATCATCTCTATATTTGAATTACTCTAGGTAT